TCCCACCTCTGATGCCTCCTCACTGGAGACATCTCTCCTTTCCACCCAACTACATAAAATCTCATACATGCCCAAGTGCCTAAGCCTAATTCTGGTAGATGGTGGATAAGAATTTAATAATAATTCCCTCCCCCCTAACCCCTTCCTTTTTAAAGTTAGCATTCACTTCAACAAACAGAAAATAATTTTTCTTCAAATGTTTCTTTTGACTGATGTTTTTCAGCCAATTCTTCCCTAACTTGCCCCCACAGCATCAGCAGTTCATTCTCCCTACCTCCCCCGCCCCACGCCCCCACACCTCAATTTCTATGACTTGGTCATAATTCAGAGGCCAGCACTGGGCTGAATTAATTCAACAGTCATTTAACCAAATGGGAAAGTTAAACCAGAGCCCTGCTGGATAACTCAGTTGTTTCTACAGTTGAATGGAAGCAGCTTTTATTAAATTATGCAGCCAATGCTCCTTTTATTTCCTTAATGAGAGTGTGGTTCATAAATTGCTTTGTGGATTACCTTAATCAGTTCATTTCAACAACCTACAACCTCGAGGAGGCAATTTGAGTGCATTATGTAGAGTAGGCTGAGCATTTCGGCTTTTGAGAGGACAGCGATTTGGATTTTGAGCCTCAGACATTTCCTGCATCAGGGAACACGCTGTATGGGGCGTCCGTATCCGCTCAGGCCTTGGGGACTTTGTCTCCCTAATGCTGGGTGACTCGCAATGTCCCCCTTTGCAGAGTTCCAATTGTGTCTCCTAATCACAAGAGCTTCCTGTATTCTGGGAAGAAATAATAATAATTAAAATAGCTCCCTGGTTATACTCGCCAGAATAATGGGAAATGGGCTTGAGCAGGCAGTGCTGATGCCAGAGGCCTTGGTGGCAGGTACTTTTCTAGAAAGGTTTCACTTTGAACATCAGATGTATGTGGCTGGGCCAGGTGATCTGACCTAGGAGAAAAAAATCCTCCAAGGCCAACAGTGAGGGGTCACCACCTGTGCGTTTGACCAACATTTCTTTTGGGCCTGCCCTCAAAGGGCTCGTAGTCCCCAAGGCACAGCATGTGACACTAAGTAGGCCCCTATTAGTGTCTGATATAGAAACCCCACAAAGTCAATGAGGTAAAACTGTGAGAGAAACGAAAATGATTTCATAGAGACTGAGGGCCTGGCCCCTCTACCTACTTGCTCTGTGACCCCAGGAAAGTTCCTTAGCCTCTCTGTTTCTCAGATCCTTCTCCTGGTAAATGGGGGTGATAAAGTGTCCACCCAGTAAAGAGTAAATGATTTAAGGTTTTCAAAGTGCTTAAACTAGTCTTTGGCTCAGGTTTAATTTCTTCCTTCTGTTTAATAACTGGTACATAAATTGAGCTGGGTCTGGCTTTCAATTATATTCCAAGTCCAAAAGTTGGAGAGGTGACAGATGAACTGCTGATGTTCCTGGAGAAAACTATGGAGAAACTGCCCCCCAAAAAATCTGTCAGAAATACTTGTGCAGACTGGCATTTGTGAAGAAATTATTTTCCTTTTACTGAATCAATATTTAAGGCAAAATATAGAAATAAAGATTTATCATATAATTGATAGTTTAATTTAACAAATAATATATAGATGTTAAACATCACCATTTCCACAGTCTCCAAGAGAGGACTCTTTGTCATTAAGGTAGCTCCCACTTCTAGGAATTCTCACATCAAAATATAAATAAAGCACTTGGGAGAAGCAGCTATTGGGGAGAAAATTCCTTTGTCATATATTTGCCTAATATGTCACACTTTTCCTTAGTAATTGTCAATTATTTTACATAGCTATTTGTGGGATTTTTTGTGTTACCATCCTTTGTCTCAATAAACTATAGGTTCCATGAGAGCAGGAATAATGTCTGTCTTTTTAACTTTCACATCTCATTGTCATGGGACAATGATTGCCCCCCAGTTGGCATTCAGTGGATATTTCTTGGATGAATAAATAGATGGGTAGGTGGGTGGATGGGTGGCTGGCTGGATGGATGGATACATGCATGGATGCATAGATGGACAGATGGCTGTGTGGATAGATGCCTGCATGAATGGAAGGATAAAAAG